ATATGTTACGTATTTTTAAATGTGTGGTGAACTGCTGTAAAACAGCCTGTTTCAGTTTAAGAGTTGTTTTCAACAGATTGCATGCTCAAAAAGAATATGTTTTGTCTCACTCCCATTTCTTCCCAACCTTGTTTTGATTTTTTTGATTGATTTTGATTTTGATTTTTTGTTGATTTTTTGTTGTTGCCATTTTTCAAGTGATCTTAAACTTTAGATTGGGACTGTATGCTGGCTTATATTTTGATCAGATTTAGGTGATTCTCCAAATGTATTACCATCAGTAACCCCATATAAATCATGGTTCTGTGTTTAACAAGTACAACAATATTATTGTTGTAAACATCATACACATATTTAACATTATGTGTATGATGAATTGACAACACAGTTTATATCTTTCTGCATTCCTTCAGACACACACAAAACTGGGTTGAAGGTTGAAGCTAGCTCATGTGCACAAACACACCACCACAAAACTCAGACATTAGAACAATCATTTCTACTGCTCAAAATACATTTCTCATTCATATATTGATCAAACTTATATTTTGATTAGTCTTTGATTAAGAATTAAAATGCTTTATTATTAGGAACTAGAGAAAAGCTCTGTTTTAGCACTTTGATCATATTTAGTCACATAAGGCTGGATATCAAGACCTTTTAACCTCTCTTAGCTGTGCAGAGATAGCGAGGGGGGACTTCAATCTCTTTCTACCCCAGGTCTCAAGACAGTTATTATAATTGTCGTTGTCCCAGATTTTAATGACATTTCCTCTTGTGGTACTAATAAAGGTATCTTATCTTATCTTATCTTATCTTATCTTTAAGGCCTATTAGGAGTGTTCATAAGAGGGTCTTGGCTTTGGAGTTGATGTCACTCCGCAGTGCATTGTGGGATCGCGCCGCCATGTTAGAAGGCCACGAATCAAAACAAACACACTGTGTGGAAGCAGGACTGCCAGAACTATGCTTAAAATCAGCCAAAAGACAAAGGGCTGTATCGCGACCGATTGCGCCCAGACGCCAAGAGACGGTACTTGGAAAAAATAGCGTGCATCGGTAATGTGGACCCGTATGAAAAAAGGCAGTGGAGTGGAAACCCAGACAGCCTACCGCCGTTGTCCTATCCCGATATCGTCGGCTGTGAGCCTTGTCTGCTGGAGTCAGCGCATACACGGCGAATCTTGTTTTGAAAACAAAAGTTGTATCCAAGATGGCCGACTTCTAAATGGCCACCATGGTCACCACCCATCTTGAGGAGTTTGCCCCCTCACATACTAATGTGCCACAAACAGGACTTTAATATCACCAACCATTCCCATGTTATTATGGTGTATCCATATAAATAGCCCACCCTGTAGATTTATAGATATGTAAATGTGCGTATATGTAAAACTTTCATGGATTAAATATGATGAACTTTGCCAAGTAGTAATAAAATTATATAACAGTCACGCGAAGGCTCAGCAGAACTGTTTAATGATGAACCCTACAGGCTTCCCCCTCTGAACTAGCTTTCAAATAGCTCATGCTGATAAAGGCCGAGAGATTAGATCCACCCTGTGGGCAGACTGCTATAATCTTCTTCACACTAAGAGGAATCCTGCTTCCTTACATTCTCCAAACAGAGAAGAGATGGGCAACAGCGAGTCATTCTCTGAAGGTGAAGCTGAAACTTTAATTTAGACCTCCAGCTAAAATTTAGATTGCTAACCAAATGAAATGATGCAGAAAGTATGAAATGATACAACTATTGTAATTTGCTGTTAAAATATTTTCAACCTATCATGAGTATAACAGAGTTTTTATTTCTACAGGTGATCCTCTGAGGATTGTGATGATTGGGAAAACTGGTGTTGGGAAGAGTGCTGTTGGTAACACCATTATTGGCAAAGACGTTTTTCAGTCTTTAGTGAGTTCAGAGTCAGTGACCGAGACTTGTGAAATAGAACGAGTTAGAGATTGCAAAAGAAAGATCCAAGTGGTCGATACCCCCGGCATTCTGGATACGTCTAAAAATACAGACATCATAAATAAAGAGATTGCAAAATGCATTCACATGACCACTCCTGGGCCTCACGTCTTCCTGCTGGTTCTTCAGATTGGCAGGTTTACCCAAGAAGAAAACAACTCTGTGCGAGCTCTGGAGAAACTCTTTGGACCTGAGGCAACAAACTACACGATCATCCTGTTCACTCACGGTGACAAGCTAACTAAAGAGAAGACAACCATACAAGAGTATTTGAGAACTGGCCAACCTAAAC